ATATATATATATATATTAATATCAAATTTTAATGACAACAAATATTTATTCATTACTAATATTGATGTCACTAAATTTTACACCGACGATTTTGAAAATTACATGTGAATAAAACTATTTTTTTTTAAAAAAAAACTATCATATCATCAATCGATCACAAGTTAATTTACAAGTTTAAATTGCATAATTGGAAACAAATGACTAATGTCATTTAATTTTTGTTCCGGAGTTCACCTTAGTTAAACATGTTCAATACAAATAGTTGTTTGGATCTAAGCAAAGTAAATGGGCCAAAATCCATAATAAAGAAAAAATATGATGAGAACTGTTTCGTACAAAGCACGAGATAACACTTGGGTCAAAAGAGACGAATCAGAAAGGGGCCTTGACCCCCTTTTCTTAGGAGAGTTTCATAATATGTAAAAAAAAATTTCCCTGGAATATCCACCGTCGATAATAGTGATTAATCTCCTCACAAGGAGGGATTCGATCTCCTGACCTTACTTAAGCGTGGATCAACCCCTATCGCTGAACCACTCGCTTGGGGTTAATATGTAATACTATTTTCGGTCTTTTTATAAAAATATAAATTAAAATATAAAATATACTATAACTTGTTTCTTATAATTTTAAAAGACTGGAAATAGTACAATTTAGTGTGTTGAAAATATAGATTTAACCGGAAGTTTTTACAGGAAATCTTCCATGAACACAATAACCAATACTGTGAAGATTACCTCAACCTATAATAGGTTCATGATATATACACCTCCTTTTTTTTTATAAGTACACCTCCTTTTTTTTTAAAATAATTAAAATTTTAAATTTTTTTTATTTTTTTAATTTTTTTAATTTTACACCCACAACATTTTATTTAGTAAATTTTTACACATCTTTCGTCTTTTTTTTTCCTTTTTTTTTCTTCAATTTTTACATGTACTCCCTTACCTTTCCTTCACCTTACCTATTTTAGTAGCATGTGAAAATTGAAAGAGAAAAAAAGTGTGCTGAATAAAAAAGAAAGTAGCAAATTAAAAGTTAAAGGTGTAAAATTAAAAAAAAAATGACAATATTTTATAGTTTTTAAAAAAATAAAGGAGGTGCACTTATAAAAAGGCTCATGATATATACACCTCCTTTATTTTTTAAGTACACCTCCTTTATTTTTTTTAAAATTATAAAATATTGTAGTTTTTTTTTAATTTTCTAATTTTACACCTTCAATTTTCAATTTTCTACTTTCTTCTTCTTTTTCACACACTTTTTTTTTATCTTTTAGTTTTCACATGCTACCAAAATAGGTGGGGTGAAGGAAAGGTAAGGGGGTGCATGTAAAAATTGAAGAAAAAAAAAGGAAGATGTGTGAAAAAAAAAGTACTAAATTAAATATTATAAATGTAAAATTAAAAAATTAAAAATATTTTAAAATTTTAATTTTTTTTTTTTCAAAAAAGAAGTGTACTTATAAAAAAAAAGGAAGTGTATATATTATGAACCCCTATAATATAATACAATCCCAAAGGCCTATGTAAAGTAAATGGGCCATAATTCATTACAAAAAAAAATTAT